CAGACTGGCGCCCTGCCAAGGATGTACGCCGCCTCTCGCCCGGAACGTTAGCTGGAGATAGGCACCAGCAACCCCTCCCGACCCCACTGAGGGACAAGGGTGTTCCGAAAATGGATGGATGGATGGATGTATATATATATATATACACACAAAATATTGTTTTTAACTTGTATTGTTTCAAAGTGAGCTTCATATTAGTATATTAATATTACCATATTAATATTAGTAGCGCCATCATTTGTTATCAGATATATCTATTAAATACGATTAGAAAACTGATGTTTGGTAAATTCTCCATGATACAAATCTATAAACAGTTTAGTTTCTGTTCTGTCAAGATGCAAGAAGGGGCAAATTTCTATTTATATTGGTCAATCGTTTTATTTTAAATATGCTGTTGGAGCCGTAGTTTGACGACTGTTATAAATATCTCCACGTTTTGTGAACACAGGGGATTAGCTCCGTTTTTGTCGCTTGTTTTTAGGAATTGCAGCAGCTGCAGTGCGCCACAATAAAGCTACAATAAAGCTGATAAACAGGTGAAAAACCAAACTAGACAGAGCCACTTCTGATTGTTTGCCAAGCCAAACATCCAATAAAAGTTCCACCAAGCTACTACTGAGGCACTGGGGTCATGTTTCTAGACACGGGCAAAAGAAGGTTCAATGTCCAAACTTATTGATTGTTCTTGGTGATTTATTTTCCTCTTTCACCAAACAATTACAGAGTTCAAACTTTCATTTGTTCTCATGCTACCACTCTTGCACTGGTAAAAACCATCAGCCCCAAACCCAAATGCCTGCTGGTCCTTCAGGCCCCTACACTTATAGAAAGTGGACTGACCCACATTACTTCCTGTGTAAATTTAGAAAGTAAATAAGAAAAATAATAAAACAAAAAATAAATAAAATCAACAATTATCAACCTACAAAATAAACTCTGTAAATAATACAAAAAATAGACATTTAAGAATAAAGTAACAAAATCCAAATGGATAAAGAAATAAAGAAAAAATAGCTCCAACAACCTCTATTCCGCCTTTTCTCGCTCTGTATGTCGGTATTACACACGACCCATTGCCATGGCAACCGACAAACAACAGCTCAACGAGCAGATAGAGCAGAGATTACCGATCAGGGGAATCAACACCAAAAAGCAAACATTTCCCACACAAAAAAGTAGCAAAAACACTAAAACAGAACATCCGGTCTGTTACATTATGTTGTCAGGTTTAATGTCTATATTGTGATTATTAATAAGTTTTCGCCTGAACACCACGGTGGTTGATTAGCTGATTTAAACAGCTGCTCTACTGATGACTTGGTGGGCGGGTTGACCTGTTTTAACGGAACCAAAACACACCGAACTGCGCAGCACATGCTAAGGTTATCAAAGTCAATACCAGGCCAGCAACAGTTAGGCTAGAATAACTGACCCACTGCTCACTTGTTCAATGTTTTCTTTAAATTAAAACTTTTTCCACACCTGTGAAATCTGAAGCCCTTATTACCATTATATATGGTTTAATTAACTGCTAAACATTGCGTCGGTTGTTCTGATTCTTTGCGTGATTGTAGTAGTTTCCTGACCACTGATATATTCCTGACTCAATGGACAGCAATGGCGCATGTGTGACTTACGATAAATCACGTAATGTCCAAGTCCTGTAATATTTATCCATCAATGCTGCCTCGCGCTCTGTCCTTCTCTCGCACTTCCCGCTACTTAGCAGTAGGTTGAAGGTTACATTGTGTTACATTCAATGTTGTCGGAAAAAAGAGTTTCATGCGCTTAATGTCCGATTTGCCATAACTATTTATTGAATTCGTAGTCGCTAGCTGGGGTGGCAACAGGGGTGGCGAGGCTCTCGTTTGGGGTGGCAACTGCCACCCCAGTAGATCCGCCCCTGGAGATATCTTAATTTATTAATACGTCTACGTCCTCTAGTCACAAACTAATTTAAGATATCTGGAATGTAAGTGCGGTGAACCCTATTTTATATTAAGACGGCCTGCCATACAAGCCCTGATTACGCCTGGACTAACTCACCTGTTTGTAAAGATGGCGGTCTCCTTTCTAACCGGTCAGGGACATAGGAGCAGTGACCCCTCGTGCTTCTTTGGCGGACCTCTGTTCCGGTGGGTAGCTACATCTTTCGTGGGATCGTTAAAATATATATATATAGATAAATAAATAAAAATCCAATCGAGTAAATCCGCTCCTGCAGTCCGGACGCTCCGACTGTCAACACGGAAGTTCTGGAAGTAGGTGACGTCATCGCTTGTAAGAGTGCTCGTAAAAGTTTAACCCTGTTATGACCATACAACGGCGTATTTGAACCATTATATAAAAAAGGAGTACATTTTCGCCAAAAATCTCAGAAATGTTTAGGTTAATCTAAGACATTTTCTAGAAAAACGTGGGAATTTCTGAGTTTAAAAAGCTGAAAAAATTTTAGAAAAAAAGTTCCAGATTAATCTCAGAATTTTTCTAGAAAAAAAAATAGGGAAACTGATTTCCTGGCTTCGTAGGTTTAACCCTTGTGCGTGCGAGGACTGAAGCAAACGTCGGATGGCAAGCCGTTTTAACATAAATTCGGTTTCGTCTGACTATCCGTAATTACATTCCAAATATCTAAAAATGCATTTTGACTAGACAAAACTACATTTTGACTATCCGGAATGATAATTTAAGATATCTGTATTTACATTCTGACTAGTAAGAATGATAATTCAAGATATCTTTAATTATATTTTGACTAGTCAAAATTCCTTTCAAGATATCTCAAATGACATTTGACGGGACACATATTCGTAATTACAGTTAAAGATATCTTTCAAAACAATTATGACTAGTGTTGAGAAAATAAATTTAAAATAAGCTAGTTTTAAAACTTAACATGTCTTGATTCAAATACCCTAATTGTGGTTTTGAAATTAGTAATGTATTCTGACTTTTTGACCTTTAATTTACCTGTAGTTACAGCAGATGGTTTGCTAGGATCGTTTGAACTGCCTTTTGTCTGTGTGGAGAGCAGTACAGGGGAGGTTCTGGCTTTTCGCACTCATTTGTGAAAGGCCGTAAACACTGCAGGGGTTTTAGGCTTCAGATAAGGGGTCAGAGATAGCTTCTGGATTGGATGAGCAAAGATACGCCTTGTTTGAATAAATTAAAGAAAAGAAGATAAAACTTTCTACACTGAAGTAACAAATCAGATTTTGATCTTGCAACTCTCCAAAGATGTATTTGCACATCTTGCTTTTCTTTCTTTCCTTCTTTTCCAAGTCTGTCAGGTAAATGAATGTATGTCTCCGTTGTTCTGCAGTTTCTGGTGTAAGTTTATATTGGATTAATCTCTGTAATTCTGTGACGTCAACACGCATTGTTGTTTTCCTTGTGGTCGCACGCGGCCCACCGAGAGGACCTTGGATCCAGAGGAAGAGAGAGCCAGACTTTTTCCAAAGTTAACCAATTTAGAATTTTTCTTCCTTAATACTAGTCAAAATTATAATTTTAGATATCTGAATTAAGAATGACATGGAAGCCACGTCATTATTAATGAATGACACGGCTTCCATGTCATTCATTAACAGTTGCTGCAAACAGTTGGCTGCAGAATTTTATGTTTCCTGCACAAAATTGTCAGAAATTAGAAAGAGCTCGACATTGTTGGAAATGCAGAGATAGCAAAACTTCATAAACTTTAAGACTGTTTCTGATATCTGCAAAGAATTTCCTGTTTATTCATTTTTGACGAACCAAATGTACTTAAAAACTGTTTTGAAAAGCTAAAATTGCTATTGTCAAACCATTTTCAACATGAAAGTGGTGCATTTTCAAACATCTTTTTTCATTTTCTCTATTTTTTAAATTGTTTTATTAAACTTTACAATTGCTACATAAGTCAGGGATGATTTGACTAGACAGAATACTAATTCAAGATATAGTAATGCCATTCTGACTAGTCAGAATGTCAATTTAAGATATCTTAAATAGAAAAGCTGTGTAATTCAATATATCTCAAATTCATTTAGAGATATCTAGTCAAAATTACAATTTAAGATATCTTTAGTTTTGTCTAGTCATTATTTGCTTTTAAGATATCTACAATTTAGTTTTCACTAGTCAAAACTACATTTCTCCTATCCAAAAATATGTTTGTGAGGTCGGTTGGACCCCATTTCTGGACACAAGGGTTAACAATGGAGGCACATTTGTTGGAATAGTTTTTTTTCTCTCTCCCTTTAGTAAAAAAATAAAATAATTAAGTTAAAAACTGCTTTTTGAAATTGCGTTTTAACTTTTTTAAAATTAGTTCTGAAACAATAAAACTTGACAAAAGAGCAAAGCAGGAGAAATCTCTATTTAGTCTTCTTGTCAACAGCACTGTTGACTCTGTTGGTACTTTCGCCAAAGTCGGCCACTTTAGCCACTACTACTTGAGCCACACGAGACAATAGACACGTTTCAGCATCAAATTAAGAAAACATCTAGCAGTTTGCCTTCCTCCTCTCTTTCCTCTGAGTTCTTCTTTAAAGCCTAATGAAGCGCTCAGGGAGAGCTTTGGAGCGTTGAGCTACACTCTGTTGGGTTTTCAAAGACAACGCTCTATAGACTACTCTCTGACATCAAAAAGAGCTGGCTGTTATTTAAAAGCCACTGCTTTTGTCTTAAAGAAGTCAGCACCAGTCAGCATCACTGCAGGTTCTTAAAAGTTCTAATCGATTCTAATCCTGCGGGGTTCTTTATTGTCATCGGGATTTACTGCAGTCCTGCAGCTCAGAGTCAGTGTTTCCCCCCCTTTGGGCAAAGATTTGGTGAAGGACGATATAAAAATGATTTACATTATGTTGCTGACATGTTGGCAGCACTTTACAACAACTCAAATGGGCTTCAGTTTAGATTGATCTTTTTCAATTTTACTATGTGGGTCCCTGTGCGGATTGCAAGTGGATTTGTTTTTGGCTGATGTTTTCCTTTGTTGCAAAAAGAAAAGAAAAAACTTCAACCAATCACATAAATTACAAAAATGTATTTGATTTAAAGGCTGAACATTCTGTCCCCGTAAAGCCAGAATCACTTTTGCCCCGATGAATTTTCCAGGGCGGCTACTTTCTTTCACTTTATTGGTAAACAAGCTGATGCTCTGCGAAGGCATCAGAGGTTTGTTAAAAATTAATAATTCACTCCAGGAAGTTGCGATATGAACCATTAATCAATGCGAATTTACTCATCATACTCAAATTTCCAATTTTCACCAGTTATCGCGACTGTTCCGCAAATCTGACCAATTACATAAACTAATTTTTTTAGTTCATATTTTATTAGCTTACTTGAATCAATTTTGTTGCTGTTTGTAATTTTGCTTTGTTTGTTTTATCAAAATAGGTTTCTATTGTAAACGAGAGAAAACTTGTCTGAATAAAGTAAAAAAGAAAAGTCCTTCTTCTCTGACCAATCAGTGCGACTTGGCTGAATTCTGACCAATCCCTTTGTCCCAGCTTCAAATTTAACTTCCTGTTTCACGACTTCTCTTGAAAGCCAAACCTGGAACTTGAAAGCATGTGTGAAATGGTAACATTTGCTTTTATTTTTAGATTTTTTTATTTTCGCAAAAACTATTGTGAGATTTTCCATAGAATTTACTCCCACTGTTTAAGAAGTTCATGTTAGCTTGACGGAACAATATGGAATTCTTTTTCACTTTGAAAGTCTTTAGGACATGATTTACTGTTATTATTATTATTATTATTATTATTATTAAGGGTGATATTTCAAGAATTCACTCAAAAATGTTATTTGCACTTTACATACTAACTCTATTTTTTTATTTTTTTTGCGAAGGTTATGTGCATCAGTTTCAACTTTTTTGCATAATCAAACGCTTTGAAACTCTGACCGCATCTTTTTGAAATAGGTGATAAGCAGATTTCATTAAAAAAAAAAAAAAAAAATTGTTGAGCAGGTTAAAAAAAAATCACAAACTGATTTTTTGCATTTTTAATTTAAGGAATTTGATGCCACCCGTAGTTTAAATTAGCCATCTTTGCTGCAAAAAGTTTGGACACCAGTGACCTAAAGCTTAAAACCAGATGTTGACAGATGCTCTTTATCTAATCTGAGTTAGTCACTAACAAGATCAGAGTTGGTTTAACCACAAGGTTAAACTTGTTTCTCCATACTTTTGGCTCTGAATCCAAATGCAACCCATGAAAAAGTGATAGAAATAATTATGCAAAGCACTTCACTTAACAGTCGATATGAAACCATTTGCACTCAAATTACAAGAAATTATTGTATTGTTTTTTGAGGACCTTATTATAGTATTAATCCGCAGATGTTCCCCTCAGCAGTTCTCTCCAGCCCAGACCTGTTACTGGGCGCCCCACATACCTGCACCTGTGTTTGGTGCGTTCACTGCATTTGGCTTTGAGGATGTGAGGAACATATCTGGGCCTTGCTCTCCTCTTAGAGCCAGGAGGGCACTTTTTTTTCTTTTTTCTTTTGTTTCCTGATGACTGCAACACAGATATTGTTTAGAACACACTACGTCCACGCTTTGCAAGTTTTGGAGGTCGTTGGGATACATGCCAGGTGTAGGTTACAGCCGCTCCTCCTCCCTCACTGCTGTTTCCAGTGACTATGGTAGATTTTTTTTTCTTTCGAATCAGCGGCTCACACTGCTCATTAATGACATTGAAAAATCTGATCTTAATTGAATCAATGGCTGTTTTACAGTTACGTTACAGAATGCCCAAGCCACGTTGTTGCATCTGTTCTATGTGTCTCCAGTTTTAGTTTTCCAGAGTTCACATAATTTTTGGAAAGTTTGTAATATTTTAAGACTACAATATGATTATAGAACAGGAAAAGACAGTTATATGTTTATCCAGGTCACATTATAAGCAGATAATCAGATGGATGAATTGATGGCTAAACGGATGGCTGGATGGATGGTTAAATTAATGTATTGATGGAGGATGGATGGATGGATAGATAGATAGATAGATAGATAGATAGATAGATAGATAGATAGATAGATAGATAGATAGACACTCGAATCAGATTGCAGAATGCTCCTTAGTTTAAAGCTAGCTGGTTCAATCTAAACTCAACTACATTTTCACACATAATGACAACTAACATGTTTTACTAAAGGGTAAACGGTCCACAAAACAGCAGAACCTCAGACTCTGCATCAGTCACTGATCCAACTGTACATCTGAGGCCAGGGTATCATTTATCCAGCCATTCCTGCTCCTT